GCAGGTTGCGAATTAAGACCGAAAATCCCTTGAACTGGCAGAGGTAGGAATTTCCTTCCAGGATCGCCTCGATGGCTTTTAACCCCACCACTTTCGCCCTTGCGTTGGTGGTGTGGGTTACCCAGTCCATCAGGCGTTGGATGCGTGCGAGGTCGCTCTCCCCAGACAAAGCTGCTGGATCCATCTTGTGGTCACGTCGTACTGTCACGGCTGGGGCGGCAGTCGTGTGGAGGGTGAGAAAGGAGGATCCAGTGGCAGACAATGGTGGAGGTGCAAGTGGGTTTTATTTACAGTGCAAATAACAGAAGTGAGGGCAGGACAGAACATAAACCTAAACTGGGTGAAACTAACAAACAAACCTGGAACATAAGGTCAGCGGGAGAAACTCGGAGATAGCAGATGAGGATGGCAGAACAGAGAGACGTAGAGAAACATAGGGAATGAACACAGACGACGCGACGAGAAGCACAGGCAGACACCAACTATAAATAAACACACCAGGTAATCAGGAAATGGCACACAGGAGGGGACACAGCTGGAACTAATGGGCATAACGAGACACAGACCTACAAAGTAAAACAGGAAACGCACAGACTGTTTTACACAACCAACTGGGGACACGAACAGAACACAGAGGAGAGACACAGGTAGGGATGATAGAAACACACAACCCTAAGAACAAATACGAAATCAGAATAAACTAGAAAAATGATAATAACAAACTCAAAGCGCTCGGTCACCGACCCAGGACCATGACAAGAACACCACAGGCCTAAACCCTGCAGGTCTGACAGCAGGAGGTGCATCAGTCCTGTTTTCCATGTGGGAACAGTGTTTACACTGGAATCTGCCTTTGGTGGCTTTTTTGGAACAAATGTGACATTCACTAGTATAACTGACACACAATACCAAACAATAACTACACAACACACTAACTACAGCCTCCAAACACGCTAAACGTCACTAATGTCGCTCTGAAAACTCTCTTTCTTTCGCTCGCCCGCTTTCCGTCGTGGGTGTCACTCCTAAAACGCCCCCCTCTCCCTAAACAACCAAGTGTCACATGTTGCCATATAATTTTTTTGATTGGCTGACATGGTAAATTTTAACACCAATAGGGAAGGGGTGTTTTTTCTTTTTCTTTTTTCACTCGTGAGTGGAGAGTGTTTGCTAGCGCTGTCTGTACAAAACGCAGGTTTTACCGTTCTTCCCGCTGTAAACACCGCGGTTTTGTTAAAAAAAAACAAAAACATGGCGTGTATTTTTTATCATAACTCTGGTTTTACGCGGCCCATCGATACAATTCAAAAACTGTCAACCCAAGACCCAAGAAGACCCAAGAAATGGAGGCTGAGTTGCTGCATCTTGTAGCTGTGTCAATTGGTCATGTGATTTTGACGTGCCGGCGCATCAGTCAACACCAGAGGGTTAAAGGTGCAGTGTGCACAATTTCACCACTAGATGTCAGTAGATGTGCCACAATTCAATTTTGAGGCAGTGATTCTGCTCACAACTTTGTCACTCACTCTCACTTTGGGTTGTGTCTAACCCTCATCTCATCTCCTTGCCTTTTTTGAAGAATAATTTTCTTTTTTTTTGTACAATTTATTTTCAATAACACGAGTCATCATTATGCTGATCAGGTGTGTTCAAGCCTTAACAAAATAAAGCTACTTTTCATTGGCATATGGAGAGAAAAATAAGATAAAGATCAAGCTTTCTGCAATACCTGAAACACCAGTGGAGCAACTGAAAATCAGTATCTCTGGTCAATTTTAAACTATATACTATTGTGTGTATTTTGTGAGTGTAAAAAAAGAGAAATTACACTTTATTAACTTTCTTCTTGTCTGCAGGCCATTAATAATACATTTTAAGGTAGAAACGACGGGCCATATAAGAGCTTACCTACAGCCATGCTTGGCCCCAGGGGCCAGACTTTGGACATGCCTGGGTTACACTGACTCATTGCACCATCTTGTGGTACAAATTGTTATTACACAAAAGTGCAGCATGGCTCTCTTTAAATGTACATGCATAGACTTTAAGCCATACAAAATATTTGAAAGTAGAACTTACTTTTTCACATATTTTTCATTCTTACATCTTTCAGATCATCACACAGATTTTAATATCAGACAAAGGTAACCTGA